CAATTATTAATGATTTTTTTAGTAATAAATAATCATTAAGTGAACATTCAATTTCAAAATTGGAAATACCAATTTAAAATTAAACATAATTTTATATTATTGGTGGATTATTGAAAGGTTAAAGATAAAATCTAATTGAAATTGTTGATATATAATTAAGACAATCTAGTTAGCATGATTTTTTAGTTTCAAATCGTTATGGATTTTAAATTGCATATCATGGAAATTAAATTTTATTGATTGGAGGAAAACAAGAAGGCATAAGAACTGCCTTATGTGAATCATATGATCCAAATTTAAAATCATCTAAAATATCTTAATTAATACTTACAAAAGGAGTCAGTGGATTGGCATCAAAATAAATAGGAAATAAATTATATATTTCAGGAGGTAAAACAGATTAAGGAGTTTAAGATATATTTTAACTTATAAATTTGGATACCTATTAAACAAAAAATCTATTATCAGTTCCTATTAAATGTTATAATCATACATTAGTTTAAGGTAATGAACCTAATTCTATGTATATATTTGATGAATAAGGATGTTTCAAATATGATATGACAAATAATCTATGGAAAAAAATCAAATCTCCAAATTATCCAAGAAGAAGTCATGTATCTTTAACTCTTCCAGATGGAATATGGATTTTCGGAGGAAGATCTGGTAAAAAGTATATTAAATAAATTGAAAAATATGATGAAACAGATTAATAATTTTATTAAATGGGAGAATTATTATGTCCTGTTGTTAAATTTGATGCAATAGTAAGTGATGATTATTAATTTGTATATTTAGTTGGAGGAAAAACTTAAGAAAATATTCCTAGTTCAAACATTTGGAGGTATTTTTTTTATTTTATTTAAATATCAATAGATATTCCATTCTGAATAATTAATGTATCCTTTATAGTTAATTTGCAAAACCCAGATATTCTCATAAGTTGATACCTAAAAAAGTTTGATTTTAATTAATAAATTTATATTATCAACTGTTATTATTCTAATTCAAAAATAATCCTTATGCTTACACTAATTCTATTTTTAATAAATTGATAAATCATCAATAGAATGAATTTAATAACAATCTTATAAATTAATAATAAAATATATAAAATGATTGTAGAAGGAATAACTTGAATTTATTTTGAAAAAAAAACAATTAATTTTTTAAATACTAATTTAACATGATGGAAATTAATAGATATTAAAGAACTAAATGATGTAATCAATTAAAATCAAGAACAAAGAAATCAAATTTATGAGATAAAATAATAATTAAAAAATAGTAATCATGAGAAAAGGTAAATTTATTTTTAGACTTGATAGCAATATTCAAGGATCTAAATAAAAATTTTGAATACTTTTGAATTTTATCAGGGTCCATCAATTTTATTTATTCTAAAAATTATTAATTTTAAACAACAAAGACATTTTATTTTTTGAATTCCCATCATTAAAAAGAAAAAAATAAAGATACATATAATTCATTTTAGTTTCTTTTTTCATTCATTTATTTCATAATAAAAATTCATTTAAAAATACTTAATACTAAATATAATCCAATATATTATATTAAATAAGCAACAATAACTATTTTAATTTTAAAATTAATATTTATGAGTAAAGCATCCCATAGTCCAAACGATTTGATCGAATTTGAAAATCACAATCGAAATTCTTCTTTTGGAAAGAGTAAAAAATATTAATTTGAATATAGAATTATTGTCAACAGTTCCAAATGTTCCTGCATTCGGTTTTGGAACATCCAGTAGACATTAAGCATCATAAGTATATAGGGAAAACAGACTTATGGAAAAAGGTAAACATAGTCCAGGTCCAATTTATAATCCAATAAATAATTTTTATCATTAAGTTCCTAGAGCTCCAAGTGCCAAATTGGGAACATCTACAAGATAGAGTTTAAATTCAAATCATTATGACTATTATAAAAGATAAGATTAGGATGTATTATTTTAGAAATCATATAGTTTGAACCTAAAAAAGCTGATCATCTTAGAAAATGGTCTGCAGGAACAGTCAGATTTGGATAAGAATAACGATTCTTATAAAAAGAAATTACTAAAACTCCAGGTCCCAATTATGATTTAACTTAAAGAGAATAAGGCCCAAAATATACTATGGGTAATAGAAGAGCTCATTCTATTTCTTTTTCAACTCCAAGTACAGTTGGACCTGGAACTTACAAACCAAAAAAAGATTTCTCTACAGAATTGCAAGAATAACCAAAATATTCATTTACAAAGGCTCCAAAGATACCACAATAAAAGAATATTGATAAAAATTAGACTTATTATGTACAGTATAATATTGTATTCTATGAATTTAGAGAAAGTGTAGGAGCTTAAGTTGTTTCTACTAAACCAAATAAACCAGCTTTTAGTTTTGGCAAAGGAATAAGAGAAGCTAAATTAGCTATGTACAAAAATGATTTTGTAAAGATTGGGGTAAACTTAAAGATCGCACATCCAAAATTTTGAATTAAAAATGTTTCACAATAACTTTATTAGAATTTCAGCATCTTTAAATCTTTAAAGCATATTTGAACTTTGTAAAACTATTACAATTGCATCAAAATCATCAGTCTTATAGTATCCACTAAAACATGGACCAGCATTTGATGTAATTCCAGTTTTAATACCTTCCCATCCTTCTTTTTTTAACAATTTATTAGTATTTTTCCATTTATAATAAGTTCCTTATTTTCCTTAATCAGTAATTGCATAAGTTTTAAAACATCTTGTATTAACTATTTCCATAAATTCTTATATTTTAATACATTCTTCAACTAATTTATAGATATCTAATGCACAAGAGACATTCAAAGTATCATTTAATCCATGAACAGAATTATAATTAGTTTTATCCATTTTCAAAATATCTGCATGATTATTCATCATCTATAAGAATTAAGCTCTTAATTAAAATTTATTTTTTTCAATTTCTAATTCACAATCTATATAATGTCCATTACAATATCTTTGAATATTATCACAAGTTTTTAAAAATGCTATTGAATAACTTAAAACTAATGCTGCATCATTTCCTGATGGCAACATCATTGCAAATAATAATTATTTTACATTCATTATTCCTCCTGCATTAAGAAAAGCGCTAGTACCATCTATACATTCAGCATGTCCAGGAATTTTAATTCTTATAGATTCCATATCAATTCGTTTTTCTTCTAAAAATTTCAAAGTTGTATAACAAGTCATTACTTTTGTAATTGATGCTACTTCACTTTTTTATTGATCTTAATATGAATATATTTTTTAAAACTTTGTTTCACCTTTATTCCTTTTAAAAATAGCCCATTTCTTAGAACTAACTTTGTGTTTTATTTTAGAACTAATAGGTAATGAAATTGACAGAACATCACTTTTACTTCCTTAACTAACGATGCTTTTTTAACTCATTATACTTAATCCTGCTGTTGAAATAGGTTATTTTGGCTATTATTCTTTTCTTACAAAATACTCTTATATTAAAATTTTTTTTACTTGTGACTTCTCTCTATTATATTTCTGCATATTTTTTTATCCTCTGTCTCATTACTTAACCAGGTAATATTGGAAAACTATTTATTTACAAGGTTTGAATTTGTTTCTTCTTTTTCTCTTCTTAAGCATATCTTTACAATGCTTCTAAATAGGTTTCAATATATGTGAACTCTGAATGATTTTCACTTCTTTTCTTATTATCGTATAACTTTTACTCTTTATTTAACACTCTCATTTATATAATATCTTAAAGGCGTCTGCATTGGTATATTATTATGGGGCTTTGTTGTAGCACTTTTCAAACTCCTACCTTTTAATTCAGGTAGAGCTATCTAAGAATCATCTGAAGTTGATTATGCGCTTTTTCGATGAAATTTTTATAATGATACTGACAATCCTTCCTTTTGATTCATATATATATTTTATTATATTTATGTATTAGAAGTTTTATCAAACACATTTTATTCATTTTATTTCAATTATTCAAAAAAAAAGAAATTTTAAATAGCATAAATGATGTTTATAATTTGTTTAGAAGTCTTTTAAATATTTTATTTATTTCTTTTTATAATTCTCAAAAATTTCTTTAGTATTTTTATTATTAAAAACAGAAAGTAAAATTCTTTTCAAGAAATTGCAACACCTTAAATTTCTTTCCACAAATAGATTTGCAAATATTTTAATACTTTTCATCAAAATTTCAATATTGAAATAAAGAACAAATATTTCTTTTTTAAATCTTTCTTAAGATTTTACTATCTAATCTAAAATTATAAATTTCTTACTACTGCTTAACTTTTTAGGATTAACAACTATCTAATTTTATATCTTTGTTATAATAGTTAGATTAGCAAAATAAGAAATAATTAAAAATCTTAAAATCAAAGCTAGAGATAAGTATTCTTTAAATTTTTTAAAGTTCTTTCATATTTTTTTCCCTAATAATATAAATAAAAAATAAGATCTAGATTAAATTATAAATGGAGAGTTCTTAGAAAAAGGCTTTTATGAAAAACATTTTACTAAAAAAAACTAATAAAATGAACTAATTTAAAATTTTGCAGTTTTTATCTAAAGATTTTAAGTAAATCCCTTTTAACCAAAGAAGCATGAAATCCTTATTCCTTTAAAGTAAATATTTGACTCACAGAAAATCTACCAAAAAACACTTTTCAATGTAAGAAATAATTCACAATAAGTAAGAATGAAATTTAGAAATATATAAAATTTACTGCTAAAGATAACAAAAATTATCTTTGATTTATAATCTAATAAATAATTTAAATTTAATTCAAATACTAAAGTTATTTAATACTACTTACGTATATTCTTAAGATTATTATTAGGTGTTAAAATTTACTATATATAAATTTTATATTATAATCAATCTAAGTATCCTAAGTATTATTTATTTATCTAAGATTATTTTAAGTGTATAATTTGTAAATTACTTTTCGTAAATTTTGATATCACTAAGATATATTCTTAAAATAATAAAAGTATTTGAGTTTTTATCAATTTTGGAAGACTTTCGAATAGTAATATTTTGATAAATTTTAGATTTATAATATCCAATAAATATATTTAAAATTAGAAATATGCTTAAATTTTTTGAGCCTTACTACAAAGAATTGATTTTCTTGCTCTCGTAATATTTAAAATTTGAATTTACTTAACCATAGATAATATAAATCATCCTCATAATTTTAAATTAGGTTTAACCAATTGCCTTTAACTTTTATCATATATATAACTCAGAAAAATAATTTGAACCTACACTATAATCACTACTTATTTTATCAAGGCCCTATTTATTTATTATTGATGAACAATCAAAAATTATAGTTTTCAGTATCTGTTTTGCTATTCAATAGATAATAATAATTTTTACTATATACCTAATAATATAATCAAAGAATCAACAATTTCATGAAATAAGATTATCAAACATGATGCTTTAATATATTTGCAATTATTACTATTTGGTTTCATCAACCTTTTTTTGTTGGTTAATAGAAATAAGTATGATGAATATAACAAAATTATATGGCATTATTTTTGGTATTATTATGATTATAGAAGTTGGATTTATCATTATATTTTCAGATATTGTATTTTAAAGTGGATTAATATTAAGAGTTTCTACTTAATTACCATTAAATAACAATTACGTAAAATTTTTTATAAAACCATTCAGAATATTTTAAATTATTATATTTTTTTTCTTAAATAATCAGAAATTGTGCTTACTTTTACAAAATGTTTTGATTATCTCAATCCAAACTTTACATATTTATTAAATTTTAGAATTAAAAATATATGCAAAAGTGAAATGTGCATTGATTTCACTTATAATTGCATCATTTGGTATTGTCATACCGATTGAATCTTTAATAATCTAAGGTAAAATAAATAATAATTTATGGCTATTAATATCTCTCTTAATTATATATATGCTATAGTATTTTTACAAAAGATAGCACTTATCATTATAAACTGTAGATTTAAGAAAATTAAAGTATCTTTTCTCTTATGTAGAGAGTCTAGATGGAAATAGGCAATAGAATAGATTAGAAATGACTCTAATAGTTTTTGAGCATTAATAGAATTGTATAAAGAATGAATGTATTTGTAAGAAGGAAATGAACATTAAATAAAAAATACTATAACTTATTGAAATGAAGCTAGAATTACTTTTAGAATAAAGAACAAAAAAAATCGAACAAATGACACTTGATTTATCTTAGATATTATTTAGAAGAAGATAATTTGTTAAGGCCTAATAAGTTATTTTTAAAGTTGCTTATTCTAAAGATAATTTTAAAAATAAATATAATTAATTTCAATTTTCTTTGACAACACTATGTCTTTTAGACTTTTTAAAATATTAAATCGAAAATGATGTTCTTATTTAAATGATGGAAAGAATGATTCTAACAAATCCGAATAATAAATTAATTGCAGATTCTTTAAAATAATTTTCAATTAATGAAAGTAGTGATTAATATATATAGATGAAGTTAAAAAAGACAATCTAAGATAAAAGCTTATTTTATTATTATTTTATTGAACATTCAAATAAATTTCAAGGAGATATTAATTATCCTATTAAAATAATAAGATAATTATAATAATTTAGAATAGAATTAACAGAGAGATATTAAAAATTTCCAAGTATGAAAATATATTTTTATTTAGCTTCTAGCAATCAAAATGTGTTAAAATTTTATTTATTAGAAGTTTTGAATGATTATATTGAAGCTTTTGATTTGAATAAAAATAAAGCACTTAATGATGAAAAATTTTAGATTTTTCATGATTCTGTTTATAATAAAATGTTTGGTTAGAATCCATCATATATAGTAGCAGAAATTAATAAAGATTTTGATGTTATAATCGTAAGGTAATCTAAAAAAGCTATGAAGAAATTTTAATAAATTTATGGATAAAAATGGAAAAATTCATTGGAAATTTATGTTCATGATTTTATACCTGAGTATGTATAAAAATAGCATAGAACTCTGATTGAATAATTTTTTGATGAAGGAACGAATAAATATTATTAGTAATAGAATCTTTCATTTTTAAAATTATGTGATAAAATAATGCTACCAATAGAAATGATGGTAGGACTAAATTAAAGTAGTTCTTAAACATTTTCTTTCCTTATATTTTTTTATGAATAAATGGATTATAGATCTTATTTAGTTGTAAGTTAATCCTTTGATATAATTAATTGTAGTGAAAATATCAGTCTTTAAATTTTAGGAAATAGTTAATATTCAAATAGTTTGATTTCAACAAAAAGCTTAGGATCTATATTTAATATCATTAGTGAATTTGATTCAATGATTCAATCAAATGAAAAGAATTTCTTTAATTATAGTATAAAGCTTCTAAGTTAAAATGGTAAATAAGCTGGTCAAAGATACTTAGACTATTTATGTAATATAATTATAGAGAAAAAGTTTAAAAATGAAAATATGTGTTATATGATTACTTTAGATAATATTAGAGCCTAAAATAATAGATATTAAATTGATTCTAGATTAGAAACTAGCATATTCTAGAGATAATAAACTAATGAGTAATTCATTACTTAAAAATTAGAAAAAATGAGAGAAGATATTGATGAGGATGTTGAAAAAGCCTTTCCTTATTAAGAAATATTTGATATATCTTTAATAAAGAAAGCAAATCCTCTAAATTAAAGTGAAACACAACATGTAGAATCCAAACTTTATATGACTGATTTATTAATTGATTAAGAACAAACTAATCCAATTTAGTAATAATTTAAAGCCCAATAAAAATTATTTAGTCCTAAAGAATCAATGCATGAAGAATTTTTAAATAAAAAAAATTTTACTTTTTAAAATGAAATTAGGGATTTTGTTTCTGGATCTTCAATTACAATGATTAAAAAATCAAAATTTTACAAAAAATTTGAAATAATTTAATCATTATGTAAGTCATTAAAAAGTAGTTCAAAATTAATCAAAGCTAATATCAACTTTATTCTTTTTATTATTCTAATTTAAATTTATGTAATAATTGTAAGTATATATTATTAAATTAGAACTTAAGTTTAATATCAAATATACGTGGTTTTATATCAGATATAAAATTGCTTTCTGTTAGATATGATGTAACTGGTCCTTTGGAATCATTTTCAGTATCAAGATTTACTTAAATTAACTATAGAGAAATGCTTGGAAGAAAAGCAATTAATTCTACATATGCAGCATAATTATAAATATTTCCAAGACATTATTTAATGAAGTCTTTTGATAAAATGAAAAAAAGTATGGGAGATGTACTTTTAAGAAGTGAAATTGATAAGATATCAAATATCACTAATATACCCATCATGTTATATGTGAAAACTAACAATATTGGAGAATAATATAATGTAAGTAAAAGATCAGTTATAATTATTACTTTAAATTATCAATATGATTTTAAATTACATTTAGATGGAATAGGAGGTGGTTTTGACGATCCTTATTTTTATTTTACTTATAAGGATTATTAAATTGTAAAGTCTATGTTTGATCATTTAAATAAGGTCATTTTAGATATAACACTTGAAAGATCATACTAAGAGAAATAAAAATGGATGTTTGCATATTTTCCATTTTTAGGTTTGATTTTTTTGATAACTTTATTAATTATTATACAATTAATTAGACATAATAATGAAAAAAATGCGATAATGAAATATATATCTTCAATAGATTTAAATATTTTAGAGTCGGAAAAACTAAGATTATCCTATCTATAATAAATAGTATATTAAGATATGGATGTAGTAAAAACATTTTAAATTGATATTGATTCAACTGATAATTAATTAGAAAAATCAAAAATGAAATAAAAATCATTTTTTTCAAAAAAATCAAATACAAAACTTATTCATAATAAACCTATTTTAGGGCTTACTCTTAGCATATCCCACTTTTTATTATTTGCAATATTTAGCATTTATTTATTTTTGACTTTCAGAATGTATTTTATCAAGTATGAAAAAACAGCAGTGTTTTATTAATAATTATCTGATCTAGGGGTTGATATACCTGCCGTTTATGCTTAAAAAGAAATATTATTTAGAGCCTCACTTAGATATCCTTTTTTGAATTCAACTGATATTAATTAAACATATGCTGTTATTTTCAAGGCTTTAGAATCAATCAGATTATACTAATAATAAAATCTAAATTTAAGTAGCAGTAATTACTTATTTGATGAATATCTAATTGATTTTTTCTCTAATATTAATACTGGAAATCTATGTGAGTTGTAAAGTGATGAATTAAAATAATAAACATAATCATTTTGTCCTTTAGTAATGTAAGGTAATTTAGTGTAAGGATTTTAATAATCATTAATTTATATATTGAATTCTGTTAATGTTCAATAATCAGATACAAAAAATTTTACTGTTTAACCAACTTCAACATTATTCGAATTAGAAGGATCAACAATTTTAACAGATGTAATTGAGATAATGAAAGAATAATTTTATAATAATTTAGTAGAGTCAGCATAAAATTTAATCTTAGATTAATAAGTAATTTTTAAATTATTTATTTTTTTTAGTTATTATGTATTTTCTATTTAATTTTTGAGATCATTTTGGGTATTTTCTATTTTACTAAAATTGATAAATACAATTATTAACAATTTTTATATTTGAAATAGAGTGTTTATTTATTTCCTCGTCACACATTAATTTTTGATGATTCCTTTTATAGAAACTTTAGAAGTATAGTTAACGAAGAAAATTTATTAGACTGATGTGATTGTATTTCTTGATTATTTAATAATTTTATAAATTAAATGTAAAAAATAATTTTTATTATAAAAAATGGATAAAGAGTACTTTAATGTGCTTAATGGCTAAATAGATTTTGAGATGAGTGATAAAGAATACTCTGAATTGATTACAACAAAAGCAAATTAAACAATAAGACCTTTAACTTTAAAATTAAGGATGAAATAAATGAAAAACAAAATGGAAGAAGAAATTAATGTAAAATATATTAAATAATAGATAGATTTCGAAAATTAAACATGAAAACAATTAATATCAATAAAATAATGACCAATATTATAAAAATATTTTCTTTCTGTATAAAAAGAGAAGTAATACATTCAAGAATAAATAAATTTTATATAACAGTGAAACAAAAAGTCCTTTAACTTAAAGAAACTTTACCTAATATTCACCTAAAAGATAAAAATAATAATTTAATAAAACAATGTTGCCATCTTCTCCAATAATAAATAATACAAGAACAAAGGCATAAAAATATTAAGATTACTTAAAAATAAATAGATAGATAATGAAACATAAAGGTTAATTGGATGAATCAATTTTAAATCTGTTAGAATAAAAAGTGTAAGTAATTAATTAAATTAGTCACATAGCAAAATCACTAAAGCAATCATTTTTTAAGTGTGGAATCAATTCTTATGATTAAACTTTGAGAAATATTCAAGAAATCAAATAGAATTTAAATGAAAAGATAATAAAAGAATGCGATACTATATATAAAGAGAAATAAGACCATAAATTAAATGTTCTTGAAAAAACATCTACTGTATGTAACAATAATATTTATAGCATTTTCTAAGAGTTTTAGATTTAATGAAAGAAATGGATGAATAGATATTCTAGTATATGTTAAATTATAAATTCAAAAATCATATTAATGATTAAAATGCCATTCTTGAAGATATAATTAAAATGAGAGATGATGCATATAACGACAAAGTAAGAACTTTTAGTAAATATCATGATATTGATTAAGAAAAAAAGAGGGATAGATAAAAACTTAATAAAATTAAAGTATATTTTTGAGTTATTTTTAATTATAACAACTTAAATTTATGAATTTTTAAGCTAGTAAAAAGAGGGCTAATAGTTATATAGAATCTTAACAAAATCAAATTGCTGAGCTTTAGGCTACATCTTTTGCTCTTTAGTAGAAAGTTGAAGATTTATAAAAAGAAATAAAAGAATTATAATCTTAAAATCATAAATTAAATCACCATATAAGTTAACTCAAAGATTAAAATGATAATTTGAAGTTTGCATAATAAAAAGAAGGTAATTATCTTAATTTGAGACAAAGCTACATTTATGATTGAAGTAGAGCATTTAAGAAGTGATAATTAAAGACTAATAACCTTATTAGGTGGTTAAGATAAAGATTTAAGATTTCTGAGTTAATTAGAAACATAAAAATCTGATTTACCTGAATGTTTACTTTGGGTTCCTTAAAAGGCTTTTGAAATAGCTCATTAATTTAGAGAAAAATATAAAGATAGTGACTATTTAGGTGATAAATAAATTTAACTGCTTCTTTTTGAATTGAATAAAGTATGGGCTATAAGATAATTTGAATAATAAAAACTATAAAATGTAAATATATTAAAAATAGAATTTAGTCAATTAATAATCTGGAAAAATAAAAGATTAAAAGTAAAACAAATGTTCCTTATTCAGAGATTTAATTAAATTAATAAGTTGAAAGATTAAAGAAATAAATAAAAGACTTGAAAAAAGAAAACCTTGATCTTTATGCAAATCGTCCAGAAAGAGGTACAAGAAGTATTCGAATAGCATCAGCAAATAATACTCGAAAATGATATGCATAAATTTATATAAAATTAATTTTTTTAATTTAACGAATAAAAAGAAATGCAAATACAAATTACGAAGGATATAGTTAAACTTTAATATGATTACTAAAATTTAATTAACAAATATCATGGATTAGAATAATTATATATGAAATAATCTAATGAAATTTTACAATTAAAAAAATAAAATGATAATTTAAGATGTAATGTTGAAAATTATGATTGTTAAAAATGTAAAAAGTTCTAGGTTTAAATTGAAGAAAATAAAGAGGAAACAAAAAATAAAAAAAACTGCATTACTAATTTAGAGAATTAATTGAAAGAATAATAAAATAAAATTAATGAAATTTAATAAAAGGTTAAGGTTGAATCTGAGGATAGAATAGTTAATCTAGAAAATTCAAATAAAGAAGTTTCATAAAGATTAGATAGAGTAACTAAAGATAATCAATTATTTGAAATCCTATTAAGAGAGAGAGATTAAAGAATTGAGTAGTTGAGTGAAATTATTGAATAATAAGAATATTAAATTTAATAGGATGCAGAGAATGATAATACTTGGAAGGAAAAATTTATAAAAATTAATAAAGATTATCATAAATTACTTTAAGAATATAATTCTACCAAAGCTGATTTAGATGCTTTATATGTAAGTTAAAGAAGATGAATGAATTTTGATTGATTAAGATTATTACTTTATATATATCTTGATATATATATCATTATTAGTTTTTAAAATAATACATTTGCTATTTGCTAATTTATTTCAACAATTATGTGATATATTAATCAACAGAAATAAAATTAAGAAAATTACATAAACTATTGATAACATGATTCATCTTTACAAGTTCATAATGTTTAAAATTACAATTATAATAGTTGAGAATGAATAAATAAATTATAATTATTTGCAAATATGAGTCATCCAACCCCTCATTATACTAAATCTTCTTTGACTAAGTATTATTTATATGATTTAGAAAATCTATTCAATTATAAGTATAACCATAAAAGAGTTCATTTATAAGATGGCTATAAAGATTATTTTGTATCAGAGAAAAAAGTGATTAATAATAATATATAACAAATATGATGGAGGTATCAAATTTTGATGAAAGTTCATAACCTACTATGAAAATAATATCAAAATTTAGTTAGTATGACGAATATTTTTCAATACAAGATCCAATTAGAATAATTTAAGGAAGTGATGTACTTTTATATATAAAAATAGTCATAATTTCCTTTTGTAGTGAAATTTAATGAATAAAAATTGTGTGAAATCGACGATATATATAATTATTCACTTCCTGTATTAAATGGATAAATAATTCTATTAATAACATAAAATCCTCCTTTAGGTCTAATTCATTATATAGAATCTCAAGCATAATTTTTAATTATTTATTTATCAACACCTAATCCTGAGATTGAAAATTATATTTAAAATTCTTCAACTTTAAAATAGCATTGCAAACCAGAATTGTTAATAGGAAAGGTTATATTATTAAATTAGATTAGTTTTCTATAAAAAAAAGTTTGTCATTAATAGATCAATATATATTTATGCCTGATTACACTCATGAGGGTAAATAACAAGTAGTAGAATGTGTTTCATAATTAATAAGATTAATACCAAATGAAATTGATAAACTTACATTCATAATAAGATTGTAAGGAAATCCAATACAGGATATTTTTTCATTAAGTTCTAGAATGAATGAGGCTTTCTTAAAAAAGTTTGAAAATTAATTTTGGATTGATAAAGTTGTTAGATAATGTTAGAATAGAAATGGAATAGTTTTAAAATAGAAGGATTAAAAAAAGACTGGATTTGAAAAATCTTAATACATGATGTTAAGCAACACTATTAATTCAAATAAAGGATATAATTTATCAGTGGAGAATACAGAATTTATAATAAATTTAACAAAGTATTAATAAGGGAGTGGAATAACTCATGTATTTAAATGTATGATTTATCAGAAAGATATAGAAGGTAAGAATAGTAATAGTAATAATATTGATTAAGCTTAATTATTTTGCTCTTTAATATTTTTAATAAAAGAGTTAAAAGGATTTAGTCAATATGATTAAGATGATTTAATTAGTTTAATAAGAATAACATAGTAGTCATCATTCATCTCTTGTTGCATATGCATTAATTTAATGAAATAAGAAGATTTAAAAGAATTGAGTTTAATAAAGATGCATTTCAAAAGATATTTAGAAATTTTGATTTGTAGTGGAATAATAATAAATGAATAAGATAGTTATGTGATATAGTAAATTTTCAATAAATGTCTAAATTGTCCAATTTATGATGTTTCGATTCCAAAAATTGATCACATAGGTTCTGAAAATAATTTCAAATAATAATAGATACAATCAGATGAAATAGGAGAGAAAGTTTATTCAATTGATTACGATTATGCATTATCTTAAAAATCAAATCAAATAATTCTCGGACTTTAATAGGATTTAAATTATAGTGAATTGTAGATTGAACCACAAAAACGATTCCCCTATTAAGCAGCAACATCTATATAAAATTCTTTAAATGAATGAAATATATATATAAATCTGTATATTTTAAGAGGTATGTATAAATTCAATATATATTATGAAAATTATGGTTTAATTTTTAAATAAAAAAATAACAAAGATTTTAATTAATGAAGGGTCAAGCTGATTAAAAGAAGGAAGCAACAAAAACAGTAAAGAAAGTAAGGACAACCAATAAAAGTGCACCAGTGAGGTAGAGTTAAATACTAAATATAGATTATGGGTTAAGGCTGCATTTACAGGTTTTAGAAGATCAAAGGTTTAATAAAATGAGAATTAAGCATTGCTTAAAATTCAACATGTAGAAGATGTTGCTTCAAGCAGATTCTATTGGGGAAAGAGAGTTGCATACATTTATAAAGCTCATACACTTAAGAGTAACACAAAATTCAGAGTATAAATTAATATTATTCAGACAATTTGGGGACGTATAAGTAGATCACATGGAGCAAACGGAGTCGTGATTGCTCGTTTTGGTAGAAATCTCCCACCAAGAGCTATTGGATCAACCCTTAGAGTATTCCTCTATCCAAACAGAGCTTGAAAATACACACATACAATACAAAATAATACATTAATCAATTTTTAATTATTTCATTATTAAAAAATAGACCTCTCTTTTTTCAAATCAAATATTCTAAAATACCTATCTAAATTTCAAATTACAATCCCCCTTAAAACTTATTTCTAATGTTAGAAAAATTATTTAATGAATTTTGTCTTATTACTTTTTTTATTCTCAATTTTCATCTATTATTAAAATTTCAGATGTAGATAAAATAATAGCCCTGATTATGAATGCATAACTCTTATCCCTATGATATAATATAATGTTAATGTTCTAGAAATAAGACTGTAAAATACTTTATTGATCATCAATTTTTGTTTCCTTTTTTTTATTAAAATGAACTTTATATTGAAAATTCAAATTAATTTTATTACTATTACATTTTATGTATCCAAATGAATAAAATCTTATTTAATTTTTATATTAGGAGATATGCATAAAAATTATTCTTATTTATATTACCAATTTCAAACCCTGAATTATAAATTATTAAAAACACTTATTTTGTTCTCTAATTTGATATATTGTATTGTTTATTTAACAATTTATTGCAAAACTCCCTTTTAATCAAATTAAAAAAAACTAACTTATATTATAAAATCAATTTAGCAAACATAAAAATAAGAATTCTTCTCAAAATAACAATTCTATTAGAAAATTTTTAATTTAGATTAATATTTTATTTAGACAATCCATATTTTGGAAATACTTTTTTTTATTATTTTCTTTAATACTTTTGGAGGATTTTATAATTATTCTAATAAAGTAAATGTAAATCTAGAAAATTTAGATTTTGTGATATTCAAATGAATGTCAATATCTTCTTTTATGAAAATATTATAAGGATTTATATTTGTAAACTAAAATTAAGTTTTTATTAGAATAGTTTATATTGAAAAATGAAATAAAATAAATAAATATTCTTAATCATTTTTGTTTTCTACTGTTTAATTTTAGCCTTTTATGTAATCTTGCTAATTTTCCTAATCTTTTAATTTTCTTTTTTTTAATTCCTTTTTTTAAATTATTTATTTGCTTTTATTTTGATTCAATCATTTATACTTCATCTTTTTCAAAATCATCCACTGGTTTTTTTTTCATAGCTTTTCTGATTTCTTCAATAATTTTTTCATGTTTTTATTAATTTGATTTTTTTGCAATAAGAAGTGTTTGAATTTTCTTACCTTATTAATTAAGTTCTTTCTCTTCTACATTTTTAACATGTACTGCAGAATTAACAATAGGATTAAAAACAATTTCTCCTATTTTCTTAAATAAAAAATCCTAATCAATTCTGATAAATGAAATATTTTAATTGGTATTTTAAAATTTATTTAAGTTATTTAGTGCAAATTCATAGAATGCCTTTTCTCTTTAGATATCATCATTATAATCGATATTTTAGACATTTCCATTGATAATTACATATGAATCTATTTGTTAAGTCTATAATTATTTAATCTTATTGTTAAATATTTATTCGATTCCTTTTTATGGTACTCCTTAATTATTTATCATTATTTAAAATATTATAAAGCATATTTTATAAATGAACTAAAAAAGAACAAACAAACTTCATTTTTTATTCTTCTTAACTGGCTTAGCATCAGATTCTTCATCTTCATCATCTTCATCTTCATCAAATTCTTCATCATCATCTTCGTCTCCGTCTTTACCTCCTAAATCATCGTATTCATCACCTTCATCTTCACCTTCACTCTAATCAATTAATATAAATTAGTATTACAGAATATTAAATTTCTTAGCCTTCCTTATCTTTGTTATCTAACACTTATAAACTTGGGACAATCTCAAATATTTTATTAAAATATCCTGGAAGTTGAGTAATAGGATTATCTGCCAAATCTAATTGTTGCAATTGCTTTAATTATTTCAATGGCTCTATTTCCTATTATTTATTAATGTTATCTTACTTCAAATTTTGATATTTTATTATCTGCAAGACTTAAACATGCTAATTTCTTGAAATTTTTGCTTATGTATGTTATAGCTGAACCGTCTAATTAATTTGCCTCCAAAATTAGATTTTCTAAATTTGTTAGTTTTGGGAATCCATCCAAATTTTTCAATTAGCATTCAACAAGACTCAAACTTATTAGATTCTAATGTGTTTGAATAAGATTTGCTGATTGAGAATCAAATTGTCCAATTGGGATACCTTCAATATCTAAATCTTCTAATTCTCCATTCTAAGCTTCTTATTATGCAACTATTTCCTTCTTTATTGATTCAAGAGTGGCAGCCATTTATTAAAATATTTATTAATAAAGTCATTTAATTAGGTTTCATTTTAAATAATTAGAATCTTTATAATCCCGTATTTGTGGCTTATAATATTTGTTTTTATTTTTTAAATATAACCTAATACTAAAATTTCTATTCTATTTTCTATTTTATTGTTTCCATCATTCCAAATATTACACTTTTATATTGCTTCTATTAAAATTTTTATATTGTATTAACATAAATTGAATTTTCTACTTATTGCAATTCATAATAAATTTATCATATTTATTTTTAATAACAACTCTAATATATTATTTTAATCTCTTATTAATACAGAAAGTATATAAATTGAGATTATGTTTAAAAAGATTATTATTTCAGATTCTAATTTAAATCAATAAAACTTTAAAAATAAAAAAAAACTAAATTTTTCTATCTAATTTTTAAATGAGATTAAAATTTTAGATTTCAGTTTATGTAAATAAAATTTTACATTAAAATAAATATACTATTTTACTTAACTAATATAATTTATTATTTGAATTTTTGATTTTTCTATTACGTTCACATCATTCTTCTTTTTCTATTTAAAAATAAGAAGAAATCTTTGCTTTTAAAATATTATATATATAGATATATTTCGATATTTGAATTATTAAATTTAAGGAATCATCCTTAATTGAAACTAAATTTCTACATCATTATTACACTCTAAAATACGCTGACAATATATCCATATTTTAATTTATAACATCAGGTTCTTAAAAATTATTAAAAAATGGCTTAAATAATAATAAGCATTGATTACATGTCTTAGAGCTTCATGACAAGAAATTCTATTGGCAGGATTCAATTATAACATTTTCTGAACTAATAATTTGTAATTTTTACTTTTAACAAATCTAAACCATCTTGAGTAATAATTGTATTCATAAACTTTTAATCTAGCTTCTACTCCAATTAATTTTAAAATAAAATATTCTAAAAATAAGTGAAATAGAGATACCTATAAAACTTAAGCATTATCTTAATTTAAAGTTATGTTATCACATATCAATATCATCTATTACAATTCACTATCCCCAGCAAATAAAGGTGCTCTAAGAATCATTTAAGCAAATATGCACCCAATTGACCATACATCTATAGCTGTTGTATAACAAGAAGTCTAAAGTAATAGCTCTGGTGGCCTATACCATAGTGTAATCACTTCATATGTATAAGATCCAGGAATCTATTGAAAAGATCTAGCCATCCCAAAATCTCCTATTTTAACTTTACCTTAAAAATAGAATTTCCATAAAATATTACCATCCTTACTAATTAATATATTTTAGGGTTTCAAATCTCTATGCATACATTTCTTTCTATGACATTCATTCATCCCTTTCAATATTCCATGTAATATTTCCTATTTAGAAAATTATCACAATTACTTAAATCTTATTCATTTCCAATCTATTTGATTTCAAATATGTATCTAAATCAACATCATAGAATTCCATTACTAATCTAATGCATCCTTAAACATATTCAATTTCAATCAATCTTTTATCATTTTTAATACTTACTTAACTATATTTTCACATTATACTGTTTGTAATATAGATGTTTCTCTCAGTGCAACTGCAGATATCCCTTAATCTTGTGACTATAATTAATTTTATAGAAAACTTGCTTCTTAATTTTCTTTATTGCAACAACCTTCCCTGTTTCTGTATTAATTGCCTTATAGACATCACCATAAACTCCAGATCCAATCTTTCCTTGCAATTAATATTTTGAGATCTGTGACATTATTAAAAATATTAATATTTCAAAAGTTTACAATTATTATCTAAATTCTTTCTCAAATATTATTCAAAAGTAAAAAGAAGACTCATCATTATCATCCTTTCTTACTTTTATAAAAATTGTCTAAGATATAAATTTTAAAAAAATTTAAAGATATAATATTCATTAAGAAGATTGAGGGAATTATTAAATTATAAAACTTTAATAATTATTATATCATAACTGAATTTTAGTATTATGAATGATTGGGGAATCATCTTAAATCTTATTAAGACTCAAAAAATCTTGCTTCAGTTTTTTTTAAATTTCTCTTGAGTATCTTCTGATTTTATTTAGATTATTTTCTTTTCTATTAGTTTTCAGAATATTTATTAATGATTTTTTTTTAATAGGATCAATGCAATTTGAATTTATGAAATGATAATTATTATTTTCTGATTTTAATTATGATTTAGGACTTATTATTATAAAAGATAGCATTTGATTATCCAGATTGAAACATTTAATAAACTATAATATTTTTAAACAAAATATAGGATGGTTAATCTCATGGTTTTTTTTAAGTTGTTTATATCCATTCTTCTTCTGGCATTTTAAATATATATAAATTATTGGCCTCTCTATCTATAAAATTATAAGTTAAAGAAATTACATAATATTTCAGGTTCTGGTAAATCATTAGGATTAGTTACATTAAATTCATCTTTAAATAACATAGGATCATAATGTTAAATCTTTGATATTAAATCAGGTCTTTCTGTTTAAATAAATATAATAGATACGTAATTATAAAAATGCTGTTTATAAATAACCCCAAATATGTTTAGCTTATGGATTAATCATAAGAGCACTTAGATATAATCTAGCAGCATCTAAATATTCTCCTTTATAAGAATATGCAAATGCTAAATTGACCCATACTCTAACATAATTAGGTCTAAGATCTAAAGCTCTATGATAACAAAACATTGCTTAATCAGCTTCACCAAGATGAGCAAGAGTAGCACCTAATTTATTCCAAATCTAATAATTTTTAGGTTCAATTTAAAGTGCTTTCTTAAAGATTTCTACAGATTTTTGATAATTTCTTTCAATAAAATAAAGTACAGCTAATCCATTTAATAATTCAACATCATTAGGTCCTTATTAATGTGCAGCTTCGAAAACTTATATCATTCTTGCATTCATGCATTTAATTTAGTCTATAGTATAATCATAAATATTTGTATTATCAGGTACAATGCTATCATCTACAGCAATCTTATAATTTGGATTTCTTATTAACCATTATTTTAAAAAGGACATAGCCTTAACTTCATCAAGAATATTTGTGCAAGATATACCAAGAGCACTTAAAGTATCTAATTCATTAGGATTTTATTTCATAGCATTTAAGAATGCAGCTACAGCTCTTTAATCTTAATCATTTTCTTAATGTAATCTACCTAAAATTCTCCAAGCATTAGAATCTGCTGGATTTTTTTGAATATGAGCTTCTAAAGCAAGTATTGCTTCTGTATTTTAACCTTAATGTACTAAATTTAAAGCAGCTTA